GCTCGTCTTTGTCGTCTGTGCATACTAGGCGGACTCAGTCGGATGAACCATGGCCGAGCGAGGAGACTGTCCAGCCTACGTCCACAGCTGAGGCCGATCGTCAGATTCCTGTGGAAGTGTTGGATCCCAAGGTCTTCTTCCCTCCCAGTAAGGAATTCCTGATCGCAGTATCCCTGTCAGGCTGCTGACGGAGTAACAGAGATCAGCGGCTTGAGACGTAACCCTCTGCCTGCACAGAAGCGCCGATCGCAGAGCGCCGCTTTCGCCTCTGGTTGACGTGGGCGCGAACGTGCCGTATCCAAGTCTGACATCATCTTCCCTCCGCTGCCGAATTTCAACAGTCCTCCCTTGTCGTCTTCGCCCACCAGCGCTGCGTCGCGTGCGGCTACGAATGCCCTCGACAGGGCCTTGAGTAACGCATCGAAGAAGCTGTTCGGTGGGAACAGGTTACCGACGTCTCAGGACTATTCGTCGTCCACTTCTTCACCGCGGCAGCAGGACATCATCTCGACGCGAAGTCCTGACGATGGTGGCGTACGCGACCTTCTGGAGGAGATGATCCTATCACACTTCGATGATCTCGTGCAGAAAGACGCATGTTCTGACTAGGTGGGTGGACGAGCTTTACGAATATGTGAATGCTGTTCCTCAGAGTAACTGTAGCTTTTATGTTACCATTGCTTCGGATCTTACCCAGGACAAGCTAGAGCCGTGACCGGACCCTAACAAAGTGAAACGTAAGGCAAGAATGCAGCTAAACAGAGCAACACGGACCTCGAAGCTGAGAACGACGCCATCACGGGCATCGCTGCCTACATGCTGGTCATGCCGTTCTCGCAGAAGGGCTTTGACCAGCTGCGCAACCACCAAGAATATGTGAAGATGCGGGATCCTGGCGAGGAGACCTTGGTTAGCGAGGAATTTTTAGAAGGTGGGAGACAGCCCGTTTCTGTCGTGTCTGGCCATGTCGCTCACTTGCATTTTCCACAGTTATAACGTGGTTCAAGAATAGTTTCATCCGATGTAACGACCGTGCTACGCTCGCAAAGACATGACTGCTGTTGTACACTTTGCAGGATGATCTACTGCAGAGCGGGAGGCCGTTCGCTGAAGAGGTTCGGGTGACTGTGGCGAAGTGTACGTGTCACTTATCTCCTCTGTTCTGATACATGCTAAGATATCGTGTTGGATTCGATAGGGATCACGATGACTAAGCTTCGCCTACACCGCTGCCAGGATCGGATGAGAATGAACGATCATTACAGACTGCAGGAAGCCCGAGCTCAACAGAACCTGGACGATGTGACCCACATCCCTCCACCTTGGGAGCCCTCAGCAAATGGCTGGACAGGTCTCTTGTAATTATTCGAACGGACTCACACCTCAGCGTCCTTCTTTTCCGCTCTCACTCGCGATCCTTTGCAAATCACTCATGTAATGCTGGACTATATATGATCGGTTGCAAGTTCATGTGGTTTTCGATTTGCGAAAACTCGCTGCAGAATCTGCCTTCTCACCTTTTGGCAGGAGGGTGCACTGGGGCATTGGTATTTCGATCGTCTACACCACATGAGATTCACGAAGCCCTGGTATACATTGACCATACATACACGGTACATGCATCAGATTATAATGCTCAGAGCAACCGAGCCGCCAATAGAGGGAGGCCCGCGGAGATATTCCTATTACCCATCGCCTGGCTTCCACTGGCAGAGGCATCGCTGGACGACGCCTTGCGCGTCGGGCTTGACTTGTGGTAAGTCACAAGAACCAGAGAGGTCTTCATCATCCCCTGATCAGAGAGCCTGAGCGGTTGAGTCCAAAGGGGTAAAAGTAGGTACGTGCTTGCTCGCAATACAGCATTAATTGGCTTCGGGTCTACTAAGCATGATTATACCTGCACCTGCACGTAGTATCGGCGTAATTACCATGAAAGTCAGCTGGGGTCACTAGCTTCTTCGTAGTGCAGACGTGACGATAAGGTAGGCAGAGGATGTAGTATTTAACGCTTGGCACAGGCAACCCACGCATACTCACGACGGAACTCTTCTTTGTCGCCGCGATACGACGGGAGGTGCGGTAGACAGGGGCACCATTAGGAGGGGGTGATACTAGTACGGATCGTGTCGCGCAAGTACTTGCCAACGAGCAGAGGAAAAAGCATGTAATACTCGAGAGCGTAGTTACGTGACATATCGGCGGAACACAGAGGTCCTGAACAGCACATCTACTTACGAACCAAGACGCGACTACATCTCTCCCAAAGGCATCAAGAACGACAACGACCATCTCACTCAAAATATCCTTTACTCTCCGATGCGTCACTCGAGGACGGCCGGAAGACGGTCCTTGAGCCTATGAATGGTTCTCTCCTTCTCCGTACCATCCTGGCTGTTGGCCCCGGTAGGACGGGCGCGTTTCGTTGACGAGCCCTCCTCCTCGTTACGCTTGCGCTTGCTCCCGCTTCCAGATGTCTGGTTGGATTCGAGCCCGGCCTTGAGGTTTGCTGCCGTGGTGGCCCGAGCAGCCTTCTTGGGTGTTTCTATAAGGCGGAAGGGGGTGGCACCATCATTCGAAGGCCAGCGATCGGAATCCAAAGCCTCGCGTATGACCTGCTTTATCTTCTCGTGGGTCTTGAGTTGGTAGAACCTATGCGGAAATACTGAATAAGCTTCCTCAACCCACTCTTTGTCTTGGTAGTGGGTCTTCACGAGCTCCGCAAGCCGACGAATACAGGAGGTCAACGGGACATTCTCCTGTTGGTCTCTACCGGCGCCTTCACTGCTGCTGTCAGGGCCGCAAAAGATTTCCATCGTCTCCACATGCCTTCTGACCAAGTCAAGCCTTATGGATTCATGGCAAATGGCGAAGACTCCAGTGATCCACTTGTCAGGTAAAGTATGCGGCCTGTGATGAATGAAGAGGTACGTCGTAGACCAGAAGAACGATTCCAGGTCGTGCCAAGTTTCATGAACAAGTAATTGCTCGCCTTGCCGGAGTCGAGCAGTGGAAAGAAATTGTGTGGTTCCCTGCAGATGGACACTTCAGCATTTGCAACAAAACGCAGCGAACGGGGCTCATACCGTGATTTCACGGAGATGCCCCTCGCTCCCGGGCTCCCCAACCACGGTAGCGTACTCGACATCAATGAGAAAGCCTTTGCATTTCTCCACCTCAGGGTAAGCGCTGATCATGATATTATTCACGCTGATATCCCGATGGAGGATATCCTTCTTGCTCATGTGTTCGTGACCTATTGACCTGTCAGCTATACCGGAGCAGTAAAACATAGGGGAGTACGCACCTAAGAGCGAGTCATAGATCGCTTCCAATGCCTCGCGCGTGCATGTGAACCGACTGAGAGGGATCCCGACGGAATTGAGGATGCACCGGTGATGGACGCGAGGAGGGCACTTGCGAGGTGCATTGTCATCCAGTATATGGGTGTTCAGTACGTGGGCGAGCGTCCGATGCATCTTGTTGTTCGGGTCAGGCGGCTCGACAAGATCTACATCGCTGCGCTTCCTCGCCACGCCGGGAACGTGATCAACATGATCCTTGCCGCCATGGATAATGTCGTATATATCGCCCTCGAGTCTGCGAGTAGGGTCCCGCCAAGATTCCTTGATGATTACGAAGTGGTCTTCGTTGCTGCGCTCCGGATTTTCAACGGTCCCGGGGACAGGGAAGGCGAGCCAGGTGCACGTCCCGCGACCAAGGAGCGCTGTCGATGTCACCAAAGGTGGGCCGACGGTGATGTACTGCTCGAGTTTCCCACCGTCCTTGGACGGAACTCTGATGGTGCTGCTCTGCGCCCTCAGGGTGTCATCGTTTAGCTTCTCAGCTTCTTCTGAGAGCAGGCGCTTCTCTCTTGCCTTTCGAATCTTTTCCAGTAGGAGAGCGTCGTGACCGTGGACCTCGAAGTCTATCGTAGGGTCCACGCCACTACCATAGTAACCCTCGGCGCCGAAGCCAGCCAAAAATTGCCAGAGTGGTTGGGGATCCTCCTTGTATTCAAAGGCCTCGGATACCAATAGCGAAGAGCGATCGAAGCGAAAGAATCGAGCGCGATTGCCAAAAACACCAATGCCACAGAGAAAGCAGCGAGGCCGGCGCCTGAACGAGACCGTAGCGTAGTAGGAAATTTGATCCCAGACATCAACTTCGTAACCATGCACGACATTTGAGGAGGCGCCGTCAGTGTAATAAAAGGGATCCTGCTTGTCCCGAGGCTTGACTTCCACGAACGCCAGTGCGGTTGGCCAAGTGCACTTTTCAGAACGTGACTTGATCATAAGATCTGGCATCCCTGGGTCGTCGGGGTCTTTCTTGCGGTCGACGGTTTCGACTCTGATTGGACTCTTTTTCCATAGACGCGAGCACATTTTGTTCATTCCCCTCTCCTGTGGTCATTGATATTCATCAATTCTCATACGTAGGTCACACGAGTTTTGGGGCATACCAAAGGGTCGTACATATCGCGTTCGAGCGCATTCTCCGTGGGCACATCCTCTAGGATTGCTGATACTAGGGCCTGATCTTTCTCTGATACCGTCTGCAAGGCATTCTCTACCACGTCTTCAAAGTGACGCCGAAAGGTAAGGCGCATAAAGTCCTTCATGGACACTGGTCCAACTTGTAGTCTTGATGCCTCACCGCCGGCCTCTGTCTTCAATGTCTCCAGATCGGCGTCTTGACTCTGGAGTTTTCGAGAGGCGAGCGGCCGGTTTGATGGACGAGAGACCGGCGTATTAAATACATGTATAGGAGGTTGGGTCCCAGTGGGAGTGGGAGGTCGTCCGTCGTCGTTGGCAGTGTCGGCAGCAGGTGGAGTGGCACCGAGATCGCGCGAGAGAGGAAACGCCGCCGCCACGGGAAGGTCATCGTCGTCCAATAACGGTGAAGCCGGAGACGCAGGGGGAGGTGTATCGGGAGGGGGAGTTGGGGAAGGTCCAGGCATTAGCGTGGTAGCGATCGTCAGAACGGAAGAGGATGCGACAAGGGGCCACAGTCACCCACCGAGCTTTTAAAGTCGCTGGAGTTGCAACTCCGCTGTTCATTGTCCATTCTATTCAGTGATTCTTTGTGGCTTGTCTCTACACGTGTAGATGAAGGCCGTGGCCGGTCAGTACGGGAAGGGAACTGACGCGTGGTGTGGCGGAAAAGAGATGTGTATTTCTCACGTCCCCGCGTCCAATCGTGTCACGTGACCGGTGTCACACCGCAAGCCCGCAGTCACCAGTGTGGCTGGCGTGGACGTGAATGCCTTGCTTCGTCCCTTATTCCTCATTAAAGCGCTGGTAAGGACTTAAGGCAACGAAAACTGCTGTGGCAGTCTATATGAGCACCACAGGCTCTCCAACTTCCGACATGCTGTTTGCAGGGTTGTTGGGCGACTCCGTCTGAGCCTTCGGCCAGATCACTCCCAGGTGAGCCGTTCGCCGACCGCATGGCAGAGTTAACGAATTTCAACGTAAATCTATTGGTTACGTTATATATTGTAATGCGCCCAATCAGCAGCATAAGATACGATGAAACATGGGATCGGAACGGTCATGTCACAAAGCAAGAGCATAATATGTGGAACGCCTAGGCCACTCATAATCCGGAAGCAGGACCTGGCATGAGGCCAAACAGGCTTCGTTAATGGTAGAGCATGTTTGATTACAGATATCAAGTGGACTTCTAATTTCGTAGCACAATGATTTCATTGTAATTGTTCCACACGCGGCCTATCATCATACATGTTCTGCAAGCATCCCTCTATTATACATTCCATTCCCTTTACGACTACTTCCAGACAGGCGGGGAATCACCCTTAGTGCAGGATTATCCTGTCCCTGATCCAGACGATCCTCGTCTCGAGAGTGTGCTCGGCAGTATAAACTGGCGTGGATGGCAAGGTCCGGTGCCCGCCATACAAAGCACGGAATTCGATTCGCACAAGCCAGCAGGACAAATAACATGTTATGTGCGTCATTTCTTCGAATGCACGAGGGCCACACTATGAACATTTTATCGAACAGGACAAAAGACACCACACAGTCTGACAACTGATGGCCTGACAAGCCCTGACGAAGGTCTGTCAGTACCAGTCAGGGCAGAATGCAGTTTTCCTGATGCTAAGGCGGGTGGAGGGCTATATATAGTTACACCAGACCAATTTCTTCAATTTTTTCCGTGGTAAACTATTAGTCGGGATGTCTGGGGTCTTCACCTTCCTCAACGGACAGAATCTCGCCAACCGAATGGTCTTTCTTTCCGGCTGTACCGTGCGGCGTGGCTTATCAGATGGGGAACAGAGCCATAAAAACTTCGCCCAGCGGTCCTGCCTTCTGCCATCCCTCAGACGGCCCAGGTACGTGCCAACACCAATTGTCTCTAATCTTGTCTTACTCGTTGCGACAGAAGCGCAATTTGAGATCATTGGGATGCGTGAATTGTGCGCTTTTTACCTCCATCGTATATGACAGGCTCATGATCTCATGGATATCGAACGCGACGGCCAAATCGCGTAAGTCAACGATCTTTCCATCGCAATCAGAACCATTAAATTGGAGGGTTGTAAGCGACCCTTGGGTTGTGCCGCATACGAATACCCCCGATGCCTCTCTCGACAGTCAATCTCCCCATCGACGACGAAACATCCTTCTCTCCTCACCGGTCCACGAATATTCCCGTAAAGTGGTTCCCCCTCTGCTCTATGCTTGTCAAGATAATATTTTCCATCGGCGTCGGTTCACGGCCGCACTCGCACACTCCAGACTGGTCGGATGGATGCCCTAGTTGCTGGCATACAGCTCGCCTCTGGGCCTGTCACTAGGTGAGCAAGCCGACCGGTCCAGAAACATATGATATAGCTTACATCGCTTTCTCTACACCAACGCCCAAAATGTCGCGCAATCATCCGCGCCAAGTCCCTGACTCTGATCGTATCGTTGGTTTCGTTTAGATTGACGCGTATGGCCTGTCCGTGTTGTCGGTACTAAGGATCGGTAAGCAACTATTTCTGCTGTCGGGCGAGGACGAGGCGTACTTTGAATTTGAGAAGACAAGGCTGGTATCCGCCTTCGTCTCTTTGCAACATTATGTCGTCGCGGCGTCCCCACCCCTCCATGCTGTCTCCATCGAGCACATCGACGGACACGCCTTTGAATACACAGCGCTCTCGAATGGCTCTGTCTCTGACGCCAATCGAGATGATTCCTTCAATCTTTCGCGGTCTTTTTCGTTGTTTTGGCGCCGGGGCGCGGACCGGTGCAAGCCACTCTGGCCTCGCTGCCGTAGACTGTGGCGGTCGATAAAAGCGAAAGATGCACTGTCGGCCACGGGAAGTGGATTTACCCCATGACGATGGTGCAGCAACTGACTGCGGGAGAGCTGAGGTGCTCCCCTGTGGTCCCGTCGCTGGCTGTTCCGAATATTCGGTGAGATTAATTGGTTGGTTCCCTGGAGCCGTCGATTGACTCATTTCAGGTGTCGATGCCTGGAACTCCGGGAGTTGACTATAGTGTTCATGGTGTCCCCCAAAAGACCCTATTCCCTGTGCTGGCCATACTGGGCTTTGATTGGTCACCGCCGCATACTGGCGGGACATGATAGTCAGTACCTCGTGGACAAGGCACGTAAGTCAGCTCGTACCTCCTCCGCCTCGTATAAAGGCTGTTGAAGCGAGGTGTTGGGCTGCCCTGGCCACTTCCTGATAGAGATATACGAGATATCGTCCTGGGCTTGTCCTGCCTCCGGTACGTAGAGCTAGAGGACCGAGAATCTATATCCAAGGCTAGAAACGTATGTAGGTGCGCTCGCACCTGATCCACTCCATTATACCATGTGCCTCCGAGGCCCGCATGTGTGGACACCACGTGGTCGAGGTTTTGCGTATCCTGCGCATCGATGTTGTATCGGTACGCGGCAGCTCTGTCTTCGCTGTGTACGAAGCTGCCCCGGTTTCCGTGGACCTAGGACGACGTGAGGCTCAGTCCTGAAGGTAGACTGTAAGTGAGAGCTCGTACCTGATTATCGATCTCCAGGCATGGATAAGCCAGCGATTCTCCGGTTTGTACCTCTCCTAACCCTTCAGCCGGCGTGATCTGTGGAGTAGAGAACATTGATAATATGCTCCCGCTGCCGTCGTCAGGCAATGCCATTGATATAGGAGTATCATATGCCTCAAACGGCTCTACAGCCCCGGTGCGGGTCCCGTCATGTGGCTGTTCATATCCCCCTGGCTGGGCTGTAGACGATGGCCGCGACCTAGTCAGGTCGCAGAAGCTAGCGTACGTGGACTGGGGGGTGGCAAACACCTCTGCCGCTTCCAGTCCTCCACGACAGGTCGACCCTATTGGCAGGTCGTACGTCGACGTCCGTTGCGTGGGCGGAAGTGAGGTAGTGCGGTCACCATCCGCAGGGGATGTCGATAATGTAGCGGCAATGGATGTGGCAGTGGATGGGTATGCATCCTCACGTCTCTGTCAGAGCTTTTAGTAATGACACATTGTACCAGAATAGGTGGCACGCATACCTTCGCTTCCCCCCTCTCTCCCAGCGCACCAGCCAATGTCGAGTAGGGTGCAGCCGCAACGCTGCTGGTACATAGAGTGGTAGGCAAGCGCTCGACGTGTATATAGATAGTTTGTTGTTGCTCATCGATCTGCCAAAGCATTCAGTACTCGACATTGCCGCCATGTGAATAAACTGTCTTACCTTCAAGTTGCCCACAACCCGTTCTACTAATGCATCAGCCAATGTAGAGTACTCTGAATGTTTTGCACCCTGAACTCTCGGCCAATTCTCGCGGTGTGCAAGGGTGTTCCAATCCCAGCGGTCGAAGTCACAGTGGGGCGTGGCACAGGTTGAAGGCCGGGCGAATGAACGCGTGCCGGGTGCCTCGGGGTGCATAGGGTACTGTAGATACTCAGTCAGTTGTTTCACGTAGATAATAGCGCGTCGTGTATCATGTTCGTAATAGATAAATTCATACCATATTGTGACGGACACTCGAGCCACACACACGGTCCATGCGCTCCTCGTAATTGCAGGTGGCCTGGATCTGGGGTGGTAGTGGGTGAGAGGCGAAGGGAAATGAGAGAGTAGGAGATCATAGAGCAATGGTACGCTTACAACTTCTATCGTATTATAGTCCATATGTCCAGAGTAGGTCCAGCCACCATCGGCACAGCTGTCGCCGTCTAGGGTGGTGGAGTACGGCGAAGGATAAT